GCCCGGGGCGCTGGGCCCGGCCCGGCCGCCCGAGCCTTCCCCGTCAGCGTCAAGGTCATCAGCGGGCTCTACCGAGAGCTCCCGCCGTTCCCGTAGCTGGCATCAGGTAAAAGTAACACCCGCGGGATCTCGGGGTCTGTGCGGCGTCCGCGTTCCGGCCAGAGCCCGCGGGGAGCGCTGCCTGTTGCTAGCTCGCGCGCTGTGCCCCGCGGGAGGCCGTGGTGAGATTCATGCCTACGGTTTGCAGAAGAGGTTTCCTTTCTGGCTGCTAGCTCCGTTATATGAAGGGCCCGCGTTCCAGCTGCATTCACACACGTTATAAAGAACTCTGGTGTGCTAGTGGTGGTATTTGGGTCTTGCCTCTTCCCCCAGCCATATAGTATAATAGTCTTTTTAGAACCGGCTGCTTAGGATCCAAATTTATAGCCTGTTTTTAGAAAGGATGGGCTATTATAGAACTGATTATGCATCTGCATATTCATCAGCCATATAGAGGAGGTAAAGAGCTGGGAAGAGAAAGAAGAAATGAATGGTCAATAGAGAAGGCTTCAAGGAGAACACAGATTAAAAGGTCTATTTATTTTTTACAGCAGAAGCTAAAAAAGGACTGTGCACAATTCCCCACCCCCATTCCTTTTCATAGCAATTGCTTATGGGCCGCTGCCTCCCCTTGTATTTCCCTGCGCTGTACTCCTCTCATACACATGCGTTCTCGCTCGCTCACTCACTCGCAAGTGCGCTTTCTCTGATTCACACGCAAGTGTGTACGCAAGCACAGATAAAATTCCCTCCCTCAATTTTCCATTTCTTGCACCACACGCTTTTTTACCTCTTTGACCACGTGTGCCATACGATGAACCTTTTTTTGACATGGTACAATTAAAAACTAACAGTAATGGTAAGCTCTTGGCCTACTTCTGTGTTTTTCTATTTGTCAAAACTCAGCATGCAGTCCTGGGATTGCTTTTCTCTCTTAACACTTCGCTGCCTAGAGTCTAGAGGCCCAATTATGTAACTGCTTCTGACTAGCCTGACATGAGGGATAATGAGAATGCTACATACTCAGTTTGATCTAATTTCCCGTCCTCTTTTCAATTCAGAATTTATTTGGCCCGTGTTTAGACAAAGGTGCTTTTGAGAAAAGGAAGATTTAGTTAGGAGGAGAGAACTGAAGCTTTTAATTACTTGCGTGTAAGCATAAGTACACGTACTGTTTTAAACCTGTGTTAAAGGTAGGGAAGAGGTGTCAATCTGTGTCCAGCTGCTTTGGTATATTTGCATGCTTAGCCTAAGGATGAAGCAAGCCATGGGAGCCAGCTCAGCTGTACTTAATGGGAAGAAAACTTGTCCTTGAGGATGCACCCCAGCTCATTCACCAGTGCCCTTTCACACTCACTAACAAACCACAGGGACAGAGGGAATGAAGGCAAGTAGGGAGTGAATATACATGTGGGAGAACTCCTTTCTTCCAAGAGTACATGTTTTGGAGAGTTTTTTGTGGAAATACCAGAATTCTTTTTTTCCTGTGTTCCAGTATTTCCCCTCTTCACCTGGCTGTTCTTAGTAGTGGAGCTGGCAGAGTTGAGAATGAACATTCTCTTTTAGAGAGCCTAAACAGAATGAACACAAGGAAGCAAACTTCGAAGACAGAGAACACATACTCGAAACCTCAAAGGAAAAAAAAATTGTTACAAATTCTTGCAAGCTAACAGGCAAGTTTACTTCAGGTACATACTTAAACACATCTCACATCTGGAAAATTGAGGTTAGAGCAATCCTAGGTAATAACATTTGCTCAAGAAATGTTTTCCTGAAATCTTTGCACTGGGTAGGAAAATGCTTTCTGAGTGTTAAGTACAGCTTTAAAATAGGATTATTTTTTTTTAGTCTGTGTGATTAGAAGAATTTAATGGGGCAAAGGGAGTAGAAATGGGGGATGATATGTCATGTTGAAGAATAAGATAAGAAATGTCTGCTATTGTATTCTACTCCAACTTACTTTTTCACTGCAGGTGCTACCTCTGTACAGACATAGCAGGATAGATTCAACTTTTTATTAGTCTTTTTTACCACTGGAGGAGGAGGAGGATGTTCCTGCACTCTAGGGAAATGTGGAAGATAACCCTGTGACTGTAGACGAACAGCTGTATTGGTAAATCTGTAAATGATGCATAGCATTAACTTTATTTCAAAATTTCCTGCCTTCTGAATCTACCAGTGCCAAGATCTCATAGGTCTGCTCTAACTGCATAAAGGTACAGAGACATCATTGTCAGTGGGTTTCCTCATACTACTTGAGACTTCAAAAAAGAAGCAATTGCTGAAGTGTACTGCAGCATTTTTAGCTTCCAGAAGCCAAAAGAGAAAAAAAGGCAGTTTTTAAATAGCTGGAGGTGACATGAAGGGCCAGGCTGTCTTTTGTCTGAGGAGGGGTGGTACTTGAAGGTAGTATACAGGTATCTTGACCTTGCTGCTGTTCAGCTTCCAGATCTGATAATAAACATGTTTTAGCTGTGTGGGGCTGCGGGCCCAAGTTACTAGTAAAGTCTCTGCTGCTTTGACAGCATGCTGGGTTTTTTCCATTGTTAGCCACTGAAATGTACTTATTTGGTCCGTGGTTGCAAACCATTTAGCATTCTTGGTCATGGGGCTGCAGTGAAGCTGAATAATTCAAAAAAGGAGGAGTTGCATCATTTTCTTCCATGTTAAGCTTCTAAATATATGTCTCTCAAATTTTACTGTGTTCAAGTTAATTACTGGTATTGCTAATGTAAAAACTGTTTCTTATTGCACCTTCTTCATTTGTTAACAGTGAGTATAAATGCTTCTTTTTGGGAGTGTGTCTTTTTGTCTTTTTTGTCTTAAGAGTTTTATTCCAATTTGGAAATTAAATGGGGTGGTTATTTTGCCTAATATTGTTCTCCCAAAACTTCCAGGCTAATCCATTTGGGAAACATGGAAGATGTTCTCAAGAGATTTCTTATTGCTTAGCTACTGAAACACCTGCTAAAGCTGAGCTCTTTAAAAAAACTGAAAATTATTTAAATGTGAAAAAGAGTGGGTTGATCTGGAAAAGAAACTTCTCAAAAGACTAAAATTAGAATGGAATGTGTTAGAAGAGAAATACTGGTGGGGGAGGAGGACTAAGGTTTTTTAAAATAAAAATGTTACTGCTTGAGTAATGATCAAGGAAATTCTGGTTAGGATATTAGCTGCTGCTCCAACCCAGAGCAGTTCCTGAATTCAGAAATAATTATGTTTCCTTAAAGATAGATATACAGTACAGACTCCATTGTTTTTTCTGAGGTAGTCTAAAGCAAGGCTCAGCTTGATGTTTATAAATGAGACTTTTGAGTAAATGCTGTTAGTATACCAATGGCCCTTTTTTAGAGCAACTAATAAGTGAACCAAATACGCTTTGCAATTAAGTTCTGCTCTCCCAAAGTTGCCTGAGTGAGCTCCCTTTCTGCTTGCAGAAGCCTTGTCAAGGTGACGTTAACTTTCTTTTTTGCTTTTAGACGTTTTGCGTTTCTACCTTGCACTTTATCACTGTGTGTTTGACTTTTGTCTTGAGTAAAAAATCGAATTAGTTGTCTCAAGGCTAACATTCCATGATGCAATTTTTTTTCTTTTTTGGCTCAATTACAGTTGTACCACCTCTTCTTTTATTTCTGAACTTCTTGTGGTGTAAATTATTGGAAGATTTTCAAGAAATCCCACTACCTGGCAGGAAACAAGAAACTACATTGTATGTAAAATGGTAAGGAGGAAAGTTCCAAGCAATGGGTAATAGTAGGAAAAACATCCCTCTGAGGGAAATAGAAGACCTCTGCAAAGAAATGAACCCAACTAGAACTTAATACTTTTTCTTCCTGTTTGAGAATGGGCTGTGGGTATACTCTCCAATATTTATGGCTGCCTCCTTTAGAGGTAACCAAAAAGGATGCTGGTCTTCCTTCAGGGCCATAGAAGTCCCCTGCTTGATGGTGTGGCGAGGAGCTCTGCCGTGCTTGCCTCACTGAGACTTCTCCCGGAGGCTGATGGACTTCCTCCATCATCATTTCTCATACCCAAGGTGCTGTGGTGAACAGAGGGGTGTAAGTAGAGCCATTGGCCTTTTCAGCTCCTGCACAGGATATTCTAACCTTTGCTTTTTCTCAGCTTTATACAGAATAAACATGTTTAAATTCCCTAGGAAACTCTGTTACTTTAAAATCCTATTTCCCATGGGGTTTAAGCTTTTTTTCAATCAGCTCTGTAAAGGACCATGCTAGTGTCCTGGGTCATAGAACTGTTATTCCAGAATCTCTTGGTGTTGGTTGTACATTATCTCACTGAGAAGTAGCCACTTAGAGCAGAAGTACTTTTATTCCCTCCTCCTGGCTTTTAAGTCCTTGTGTGGAATACTTCATTTAACTACAAACAGTAAAATGAGGTGGTCTAGTTATCTTCCTTTTAAATCCTTTGATTTTCTTCTCCTTAATTTTGTTAGTTTGATGTATTTTACACTGCTTGGAAGCCATGAGTACTTCCTTTAGAGAGACTTGGCTGCGGTATTTCAGTTTCTTCCCTGAAAACACACACACACACACATCCTATAGAAGCTTTTTGCTATAGGATATTTTAAATCTGAGGAGTAGGAAGGAATTGAATTTCCTGATTTAAAGTGACTCAGCTAGGTCTGCCTCCTTGTTTCGTAATAGATTCTCTGCATCCAGCTCAAACCTTTGCTGGCACTTGGTAGAGCTATCAGATGTTTTCTCAATTAATTTGTCATTCCTGCACAAGGTCAGTTTTTAAGCTGTTCCTTGAGGATCCTGGAACAACTATCTAGTGAGAAATCATTAGCTCCGAAAGTACATGACTCTGTGTCATAAGGCATCTGGTGCTGTCACTTGAAGCTTCCGTCATCTCAAGTTACAACTATTATATGTCTGGCTAACATTACTTTAGTTTGTTAATATTGTTTGCTTTCATAGCATATCTACAGTCATACAAGTGCACACTAACACACATGCATCAAACCTTCTTGCCGTAACTATAGTCCAATATAAAGAGTTACTTTATTTCTATATGAAACCTAAATGGTGGTGGTGTTCTGTAGTAAGCAAATTAATTTTAAAGCATTTCTTTTAAGCCTGAAACTTTTCTTTGTAGGATTCCTGACATGTATATTTCCCTTTGGAGCAGATTTTGTTGCTAACTTCAGAAAATTATTTCTAGTGAAAATTTGAAAAGTTCGTATTTGTTAAAAAGAAAGTTGATATTTGTGTGCCATGTATGATTGCATATGTTGAAGTAATAATGTGGAAGAATCTAATTAGTACTATCTAGGCAACTGAAAACCTTGAGCTTGCTTGATTAGAATTAACTACTGCATATATGAAAGGAGAAATTTAATTCAGATTTCTATTAATCAGAAATACCATTCTGCCAAAATGATTTAAAAAAAAAAAAAAAAGACATGCTAGTCTTCTGTTTGTGTGATGATGAGTTCCATGTCAAGAGTGTTTTTGTGTGCTTACATCTCTGAAGTTATATATGCTAGAGTTAAGTACATGTGAAAGTATTTCAAGTGTTGTGGCCCAAATGCTTTCAATTCCGAAGTACGAATCAAATATATATTTACATACGTAGAGATATATACTCTGGCACAAAGCCTCAAAAAATTATCTGAGCTTTTGTTGTCAGGTTCACTTTTTTTCTTCCCACAGCATCGTTAAAGTAAGGTTCTCACTGCCGGTAAATGCTGTGTGGTTTCATGACTCTGTCATCTCTTTCCCATCTGCTCCTGGACATTGCTTAGTCCAAAGAAGAGGAGGAGAAGAGCAGTGGGGAAGAGCTCTTGCTGGAATTGCCTGTGTTACTCTACACATGCAGATGAGGCATGGCAGATCAGCTAAAAGGACATAGAGTTAGTTGTCTGTCTCTATGTATTGCTCAGTATCTGCACCTCCGCTCTGTAGGAAACTTCAGTTTTGTGGGAAGCTGCCTGGCCGATCGCATCCTATCATCCTGTCCCTGAGAGTGGGCCCAGTCCCAGTAGGCATATGTCGGAGAAGGGAACGTATTAGCACAGAATGAGAACCTGTCCTGTAATACGAATGGTGAGCCGGCATGAGCAGTATGTTCCCTCTGAGTGCTGGACCTTTCGTACTCACAGCATCTGGATGCAAGAACATGGTCCTCCACCCAGGGTTACTGGCAGCCCTCCCCATCTTATGGTCCACTGCACTATGTGGCAGATGAGGGGGAAAATAGACTCTCTGTGATGGAGTGGCGGTTAGCACTTGGCTGACCACTCTTAAGTCATACTCGAGTTTTTTTCTGTTTTTCCTGAAACAATTGGATTATAAGAAGAAAACTATGTTCCATTGAAATAGTCTTACAGAGAGTTACGGAAAGGCTACTGTATTTGCTGAACACTAGCTTTGTGTTGATTTGTGTGTCACAAGCTATCAAGGAGCCTGGTAAAATACTAACTCTTGACCTGAAATGCTGCCAGCCATAGAGACGTCAGCATGTTTGTTGTCAGGGCCTAGACCAGGTTTGGGGGCTCTCTGCCCATCTTTGTGAATCCTGAGAAGTCCGCGTGACACAAGTCAATGTGTTGTGGCAATGTCGTAGACCAGTGATGTCCAGTCTTGTCCAGCCCGG